ATTATTTTTACTTTTGAGCATCGTCCATTTCTTTCTCCTTCAGGACTTGCTGCTTCTGGGTGCAACAGCCATTGAGGATCGCCTGCAAGCTGGTGTCCCGGAAACAATATCTACTCTAATAAAAGCAGAGATCAAGATTTGGGTACTAACGGGGGACAAACAAGAAACTGCTCTCAATATAGGTAAGAGCTCTTCAATTTTCCCAGTGAAGTTGTCCTTTGCAAATGCCACCAGATATAGCAATAGCACTTAGACTTATATACCGCTTTCCAGCCCTCTCTAAGCAGTTTACAGACTCAGCCTATTGCCCCCAACAATCTGGGTCCTCATTTTACCCACCTCGGAAGGATGGAAGGCTGAGTCAACCTTGAGTCTGGTGGGATTTGAACTGCCAAGTTGAAGGCAGCTGGCAGTCAGCAGAATGCAGTACTGTATTCTACTCATAACATTCCTGATCGGAAAATAGTTAGTGGCAATACTCTCATATATATTTTCCTTTGCAATTTAGCTGGAGCATGGGAAGATAGGGACTACCAGTTGTCAGAATTCAGACCGAGGAAGCAAATTCAAGTCCACTCTTAGCTATGGAAACTTTCTGGGTGTGGGTAGCTGAGCCATTCACTGCTTTTAGCAAAAACCAATGGCACAGGAGGATTTTACTGCAGAGAAAAATAAGGGGAGATTCTGTAGGTAATCAGTCTTGGAAGAGACAGGATAAATATTTTTTGCTTGTTTTCTTTGTACTTCACCTTTATTACAAATTTAAATCATTTTTACAAATGATTTAACACACTTTACTTCTCCTATTTTTTTTCACAACAACAACCCTGTGAGGTGAGTTGGGCTAAAAAGAGAGTGACTGGCACAAGATCACCCAGCTGGCTTTGATGGTTAAAGTGGGACTTGAACTCATGGTGTCCCGTTTTTTAGCCTGGTGCCTTAATCACTAGACCAAACCGGATCTTTTTTTACTTTATTTTCTATTTACCGGTAATATAATAAAACTATTACTACCTTTCATCTCATATCTAAGGTTAGTGTAAGTCAGTGTTACTCTTCAATCATGAGAATTTCTCCAAATATTTCCTCCATCTAAAAAGAAAATCTGAAAACAATTTCTTTACCATCAGATTAAATGAGAAACCAGGGAACAGAAAATCCAGAAGGAATCTCTAGAACAGTGTCAAAAAATGCAGTGGGACTGCTTTTATTATAATAACATACCCAACCAACCAAGCACACAAACCAATATCACCTTGAAGATAATTAAGTAACAACATCACTTTGAAGATATAGATTAAGAATGGGGTTGGGTAAGGGATGCTTTGAGAGAAGTCTATTCAAGAAGTAGCAATAACTTTTATTTGAAAAAGAATATGGAACACTATAGAAAAACCAGCAAATTATTAAAGAACATTGATTTCATCAGGACATCCTGAAAGTACCCATGAATAAGACCAGACAATTTCATAATTATTCACAAGTATTTCCACCTCGGCACCCACAGAAAGCCATGATGAGACCAACATGGTAGGCACACAATGAAATCATATGCACCGTGACACATCTGCATTGTGATATCTGATGCAAGTATGCTAAACAGTGGCATTTGTATGTTCTCGTGCATGGGCCATCATATGCTTTGCCTGCAAACTATGCTGAAAACACTTTCAACAACTAGAAACAGACAAGCCAAACCACAGCAGCCGAAGAGACGCAAGGTGTTTATCCCACTCGTTTCTCAGTTTATCTTGGCTTAGAAAGGTGTCTATTACAACTGAAATGCTACATGGGAGGCTAACACAAGATCAAAAGGTCAAGTTCTCCTAGACTGTTGGGCAATATGTAACCCATACTGTAAGTTCATTTTTGTTCCTCCAAAATTGTTCATTTCTATTTTATCTTACATTGCGCTTGTTTGGACATGGTAATGAAAACTATATGGTAGAAAAAGTAACATTAAAAAGAACATAGGTTGAACAGTTTCTCCTTATTCACTTATTGCATTAATATAAATACCTTTAGCCAGATATTCAGCTGCTGCCTTCAGATGAATATATGAATTATACAATCAGATATATGATTGTTAGCCATCCAGAGTTACCCTGAGTAAGATGGGCGGCCAATATATTTTACAGATAAACAAACAAATGAGTTTTAGCTTTCCTCAACTTTGAAGCTCCAGATCGGGCTCTTCTCTTTTCCCCTATCCTTTGTTTTTTCATATGTATTTTTTCCTTGGGAGAAACACCTTTTTCAATTGCCCTTCTCTTTCCAGGACTCTTATAACCAAAGCTGCTCAGTTAGTGGCAGCCAAGGATCACCCTAACTCTCTGATTCTCTGTCTTCACTGTTCTCTGTTCTCTGGTTAACCAATCAGAGGTGAGGTTTTGCTTTCTTCCAAAATGCATCAGTGAAACATAACTTCTAGGGAATGTTTCCACCCATAAGTTTTGAGACTATGGGTTGTGACCCCATGAGAAATAAACAAATTAGAGCCATGGGTCACAATTAGATTTGAATTATTGAAACTAAAGTGGCATATTTATTTCTTGTTTAACCTTAAGATCAATTAAATGAATACAGGTGGTCCTCAAGTGAGGACCACAACTGAGCCTAAAGTTTATGTTGCTAAGTGAAACATTTGTTAAGTGAGTTTTGTCCCATTTCACGACTTTTCTTGCCACAGTTGTTAAGCGAATCATTGTATTTGTTAAGCTAGTAGTATGGTTGTTAAGAAAA